TGGTGCCCATCCAGGAAAATCCATATGCGGATTCACCGGGCTGAAACCTCATCACATGCAATGATGGGCCACTGTCATCTCTCTACAAGGGAAATGGGAAACATTCTTAAGAATGTTCCTCTGCCTCAGAGCAGAATAGCAACAAAGCACATATTTTAAAACGTGTTAAGGCAGCCCATGTATTGGCAGATTTTGAGGTTTCTTTAAAATGAATGTGTTTTTGTTAGTTTTCTAGCATGAATTGTGTTTTTTCATTTCTACTGCATCATAGATCAGTACGGCAGCTGGGCCAAGCGCATGGCAAATGGCTCACACCTGTAATCCCAGAACTTTGGGGGAGAATTACTTGAGGCCAGGAGTTGAAGACCAGCCTGGGCAACATAGTGAGACTCTGTCTCCACAAAAAAATAATAATAAGAGATACTTAGATGGGGGTAGTGGCACGTGTCTATAACCCCAGCTACTCTGGAGGCGGAGGCAGGAAGATTGCTTGAGCTCAGAGCTTTGAGGCCACAGTGGGCTATGATCATCCCACTGTACTTGAGCCTGGGCAATACAGCAAGACCCTGACTCAAAACAAACAAAAAAAGATAGCAGCTTATTTAATGTTTTGTTTTTTATACAAGCCAGTTCTACCAGGTTGACTTTTCCCCACAATTGGTTTTTGTATTGCTTTTACATTTCATTAATTTTGTAAGTAATACATTAAAACATTCTAGTAAAATTCAAATATCACAAATAGAGCCAAATTGTTCTTTGATTTCCACTCTAAACTTGTTTGATCTGTTTTGTGGTTGCTTTGATCTTATCACACAAAGATCTTTTAATGCCATCAATTCTCCTCTTTATTATATTGCTCTGAAATGTTTGTTTACTTACCAAAGCAAAATGTGCTTATAGTTAGGAAAATGAAATAGATATCATGGATGGAATAAAAGTTTAAAATCTAAAAATAAAAGTGAAATAGTGCTAAAAAGGATTATAACACTCCCCTGTCCTCCAGAGGCAATGACTTTCAAATCGTACAGCCTTTTCTTCAGATATTTAAAAATATGGAGGTTAATTTTATATATATATATATATCTTATTCTTCATTTTATTTTTTCTAGATACAGGATCTCACTATGTTGCCCAGGACTCCATCTCCTGGGCTCAAGTGATCCTTCCTCCTCAGCTTCCCCAGGAGCTGGGATTATAGGTATATGCCATAGCACCCAGCTATTATTCTTCAGTTTTTAGACCCTACCCACTGACTGTAAGGGAGGTGAGGATTTCAGCTTTCTTATGTCACTTCTTCTATTCTTCCCTTCTTCCCAACTTTAATTTTAAAAAATTAAGTCCCTAGTCAACACCTTCCCCTTGCCCCCGCCGCATCCCCCAGCACCCCCACCAGCTGGAGTTAAAACTGAATCACTTAAAAGAAAAAAAATATGCTTAGTTATCTCAAAACATATGACTAAGTCCTTCCGTTATATAGCAGTGCTGAAAACAGAATTTTCCCCATAGTCAAGCACATCAGGTTCTTTCCCTTGGAGATGATCTACCCAAAGTCTCTGACTTTCTGTTGTTTGCTGGTGAGTAGGAGCCAGTAGAGAAGGAGAAGTGGAAGATGGCAGTATGCAGGAGAGACCTTGATAATCAGTGGCTCCAAGTCCTTCTGGAAGGAGAACTGTACAAGGTCTGGGATCAGGTGGAGGAAGGGCACCTTTTAAATTGAGTGTAGGACAAAGAAAGATAGAGCAAGGCTACAGGCAGGGTCCAAGGCTGGATGGTGAGTGGAAGTCGAGTAAGTTCCCACCTTGCTGTTTTCTCTGTGACTAATAGGAAGTGAGGTTAGCTGGTGGGAATGAGGGAGGAGGAGAGTGTGGCTGGAGTCCTGGGGAAAGTGGATGAGGTTGACGATGAATGTGAGTCAGAATTCCACTGGGTGGGGCAGCTGTTTGGTTTTCTGTTCTCCCCCAAAATCCCATGTTGAATTGTAGTGCCCAGTGTTGGAGGTGGAGCCTGGCAGGAGGTGACTGGATCATGGGTGGTTTCTCATGAATGGTTTAGCACCATCCCCTTGTTGCTGTTCTTGTGACAGTGAGTGAGTTCTCACGAGATCTGGTTGTTTAAAAGTGTGTGGCACCTCCACCCACCCTTGCTCCTGCTCATGCCTGCTTGCGCTTCGCATTCCACCATGATTGTAAGCTTCCTGAGGCCTTCCCAGAAGCTGAGTAGCTGCCAGCATCACGCTTCCTGTACAGCCTGCAGAACAGTGAGCCAATTAAACCTCTTTTCTATATAAAAATTACTGCATCTCAGGTATTTCTTTATAGCAAGGTGAGAACAGAGTAATACAAACCAGTAGGGTGTGACAGAAGGAGGAAGGAAAGTGAGGGCAGTTGTCAACTGATTTGTCCATCCTGGCCAATGGCTGCAGGTCGGGTGGCTCTTTAACCTCTTGCCTCCCTTGATGTGCAGGTTCTCTACTGAGAGGAGATTACGTCAGCCAAAGCCAGTGCTGTGACATCAAAACAGAACATTGGAGGCTTTAACCTTAATATTCTCTTCTTACATATCTGTAGGATAAGTATGCAGTCGTGGGCTAGAGAGGGAAGTTCATGTATCAACACTCCATTTTTAAATGCCCCCATTTAATTTATTATATGTATGTGTGTATGTGTGTATATGTATATGTGTGTGTGTGTGTGTGTAGAGAGAGAGATATATATATATATGTATTTTTTTTTATTTTTTATTTTAAGAGGGAGTCTTGCTCTGTTGCCCAGGCTGGAGTGCAGTGGTGCAATCTCAGCTCACTGCAACCTCCCCCTCCTGGGTTCAAGCAATTCTCCTGCCTCAGCTTCCCAAGTAGCTGAGATTAGAGGTGTGTGCCACCACGCCCAGCTAATTTCTGTATTTAGTAGAGACAGGATTTCACCATGTTGGCCAGGCTGGTCTCGAACTCCTGACCTCAAATGACCTACCCACTTCAGCCTCCCAAAGTGCTGGGATTATAGGTGTGAGCCATGGCGCCTGGCAAATGCCCCATTTTGGACACTACTATGCTAGTAATTTTTCTCTTCTCACTGGGATTATTTTGAGAAATATGGAACCAAGATTATTAAGTGTCTATTTGTACAGGGCACTCTTCAAGATAAACTCACCACATAATCCTAATCTGAAGGAGCTTACCTTCTAGGCAGCCATCTAACCTGGCTTTAAACTAATTAAGCGTAAAAAAAAGCCAAGAACATTCTACAAATAAGCATTTACAGTGGAGAAGGTAGAACTCAACTACTTCCAATTAGTCAGGTGATTTTCATTGTCAAGGCCAAAATCACAAAAGAGAAATTTGTTTATTTAACTAAAAGGTCATGGAAGGTTGGCTGGCTCCCACTTCTCACCCCTACCCCAAACCCTGCTCTTCTCTACATTGACTTTATTCTCACAGAGCTTCCCTCCATTTGCTTCAAGATTAGCAGCCTCAGCTGAAGGCAAGGACCCTGCCCTTCCTTCCTCCTTCCAAGGGAGTGAGAATTGCGCTGAGGTCAGGAGTTTGAGACCAGCCTAGTCCAATACAGTAAAACCCCATCTCTACTAAAAATATAAAAAATTAGCTGGATGTGGTGGTGGGTGCCTGTAATCCCAGCTACTCAGGAGGCCTAGGCAGGACAATCGCTTGAACCCAGGAAGCAGAGGTTGCAGTGAGCTGAGATCACGCCACTGCACTCCAGCCTGGGCAATGGCGTGAGACTCCACCTCAAAAAAAAAAAATGGTGTGGAAATTTATTTTGCTTTTCTTTTGCTTATAGAATACATTTGACATCACCCCCAAGAAAGCTTATCTGGACATATTTCTGCCCAATGAAGAGAGTATTAAAATCGAAATTATAACATCAGACACTGCTGAAAGAGTCCTAGAGGTAAGCTTTGTTTAGACTCCAGCTCCTGAACTGAATCTAGGGATAGTTCTGTTTGGAAAGCGGAGAGTGGGATACGGCTGCCTTCCAGGAGCTTCTGGCCTGTTGTGTTACTCTGTGGATGATTATCTGCAGAGGTACTGGCATTTCCTGGGAGAACAACCAAGGAACCTGAGACACAGCCAATCCTCCAGGGCCTCTTTGATTTCACCCTCCCTGGGGGCACCAATTTTCCAGAGATCTCTTGGAAGGCTGCTTCCACTTCCTTAGCCAGGGATGTGGCCTGGAAATATGTAAAATGCTTTATTATTGGATGTCCCATCGTTGGGAGCAGGAAGGAAAGTGGGGCTTGGCAGAGTCTGAAACAGGTCATACCTAGGTGTGCGGGTGACACTTCCTGGCAGAGGGTGACAGGGGAGTTCTTGAAGGTTCCTATTCTCCCATAGGGAAAATTCTTGAAACCACTGCTCCGTCAGGGCTAATTCTGGGTGCAGAGGGCCCAGACGTGAATTGTAGTCCACCCTCTGAGGACTAACAGGACAAGACCCAGGAGGCTTCATCCTTCTTCAGCAGCTCTGCCTCCCAGACCCCTTTTCCATCTGCTAAGCGGGGCTGCAGAGGGAGGGCTGTCTTCTCACACCCACATCCTGCACCCCGGGGTCAGCTCCCAGGCCCTTTTCATCTGGAAGGTTTTAGCTCTAATCCTCCAGAGAAACACACAAGAGAAAATATAAAGTTATAAACATGAAGAAGAGTCAGAAAGTTTCTAGGACCTTTCAAAGGACAGAAAGTTCTTGTTTTTGGGTTATGGCGTCTGACCCTTTCTGAGCTGAGAAATGGAAGCCCTCCCATTTTGGCTGCTAGCTCTTCCGGCCTGCCTTGACTTAACCTATTCCTGTATCTCCAGCTTCTCTCATATTCATCGCCTCTCCGTTTCCTCCTCTCCATCCTACATCCCGACCTTAGTTCCAGCCTTTATCGTTTCGCAGCTAGACCTCTACTGCTGCCCCTAAACTAATCTCCCTGCTTCCAGTCTTGCTAATCTTCTGTATCAATTTCCAGCATTGTCTTTCTAAAAAGTATCAAAGGTCCTTGATGCTTGAGGGAGTTTGTATCCCAAACACAAAAACCTCAATTGCCCAGGATCTAGAAGTGGGAGACCGACTCATAAATGAAGGAGGAGTAGGAAGGCAGTGATAGAGTCGGAGCCACAGACTGCATGTGTCTAGGGCCAGGCAGGTAGGTCTGGGGCAGCTGCAGGATCAGAGATAATTTGGAAATGGATGGAATTGTTCAGAACAGGAGAGAGCACCTCCCTTGCCCAAAGACATCATCATTGACTTCTTTTTTCACACACTGGGCTTGCTGACCAAACTAGACATGCCTGCAGCTGAGGGTGGTGGTGGTGGTAGTTTGGGGTCTTCTATCTTCTGGGTTTAGAATGAGTCCTGGATTCAAATTACAGTCATGTGCCACATAATAATGATGTTTCTGTCAACATTGGACTGCATATACAATGATGGTCCCATAAGTTTATGATACAATATTTTACTGTACTTTCTCTATGTCTAGATATGTTTTGGCCGGGCACGGTGGCTCACGCCTGCAATCCCAGCACTTTGGGAGGCCGAGGCGGGCGGATCATGAGGTCAGGAGATCGAGACCATCCTGGCTAACATGGCGAAACCCTGTCTCTACTAAAAAATACAAAAAAATTTAGACAGGCATGGTGGTAGGCGCCTGTAGTCCCAGCTACTCAGGAGGCTGAGGCAGGAGAATGGCATGAACCCGGGAGGCGGAGCTTGCAGTGAGCCGAAATCATGCCACTGCATTCCAGCCTGGGCCACAGAGCAAGACTCCAACTCCAATAATAATAATAATAACAATAGATATGTTTAGATACACCAATATTACAGTTGCCTACAGTATTTAGTACAGTAACATGCCTACTATACTACTATAAACCTGGGCTAACAGGCTTGTAGCCGAGGAACAACAGGCCATACCATCTAGCCTAGGCATATAGTAGGCAATGCCATTTAGATTTGTGTAAGTTCACTTCGTGGTGTTCACACAACAACAAAATCGCCTAACGATGCATTTCTCAGACTGTGTTCCTGTCATTAAGCAACACACAACTGTACAGTGCTGCTGTGTAAGGACTGTGTGAATTTGGGTAAGTTACTTTACAGACAATGTCTAAGTAAATAATTATAGAAATAGTTCACGTTCCTGAGACAATGGCAGTTGTGTTTATTGATCATTATTGGTATTGGTATTGGTATTGATATTGATATTGGAGGGAGTGCTGAATAGGGTTCTGTGGTACTATCTATTTTGTCCGTTTCCCTGGAAACTAATAGCATACATTTGATGAGGTATATTCGCAGTCAGAAAAATGTGCTTCCTCTCTTCCAATCATGTTGGTTTGTGAGAAATTCAGACCCAAGACACTGACATCATCAGACCAGATAAGTTTAACTGGAGGTTCTACCCTAGAAGTGGTAATTTCTGTAACAGGTGAAGTGATCACTTGGCCAGCGACAGGTGTGAATTTCCTTCCAAGAGCTGGGAAATTCTCTAGCTTGCATAAAACCGTAATTTAAGTTTTGTAATTAAAAATCACCTTCTGCATCTTCTCCAGCACACTTGCTGCCATTCTCACTTTGCTTCTCCAGGTTTGCCTTACCCACAGCCTGCTTTTTACTTTTCAATGGTCTCTTTTTTTTGTTTTTTTGAAATGGAGTTTCACTCTTGTCACCTAGGCTGGAGTGCAGTGGCGCGAACTTGGCTCACTGCAACCTCCGCCTCCCAGGTTCAAGCGATTCTCCTTCCTCAGCTCCCGAGTAGCTGGGATTATAAGCACGTGCCACCATGCCCAGCTAATTTTTTTTTTTTTTTTGTAAAGACGGGTTTCACCATGTTGGCCGGGCTGGTTTCCAACTCCTGACCTTAGGTGACCCACCCACCTTGGCCTTCCAAAGTGCTGGGATTACAGGCATGAGCCACTGTGCTGGGCCTCAGTGGGCTCTTTAAGGGCCAGCAGCAAGCTAAAATCTAGGACTACTGTGGTGCTAGTGATAGTGTTCGTGTTTTGAATCATCATTAACATTTGCTAAGAGGAAAAATATTATTATGTATTTTTTTGCTGATGCTCACTCTTCTCAAAAGAAGGCATTTATATTTATGTCTTTATGAATGTGAAAGGCTTCTTCATTCTCCTTTTGTCTCCACACCTTTCCTCTGTCTGCCTTGGCATGTAAGCTTGTTGTTTTCCCTAAATTAGACAGAAAAGAAGGAAATCTAATTTGAGTGGACCTGGGTCAGGTTTACTCTGGGAAAGATGTCTTTGCTATGCTGTTACCTACCACACACCCACTGCGTTTGGCTTTTGGGCGTTTTGCAACCCAAAGCATGGGGGAAAGAGAGAGACAGAAAGAAGGGGAAAGGGAATTACTTTGAAAGTGGTGAAACTATTCCTGAGCTGCTCTTTATTTTCCAAGCTATGCTGAGAACACCCACTCATACCAGCCACCTAATCAGACTGCTTCCTGGGGGTAATTTATGTATCTCTGACAAGAGAAGGCCCCCTGTGAGCCTGGTATTTGTACAGCTGCCACCTAGAGAACTGGGAGCCGTGGGTAAAGCAGCTCTTGAGGGCAGTGCCTGGAGGTGACTCCTTGAGTGTTACAGAGGTGACTTAGTGAGTTAAGACCAGGAGTATAAAGAAATTACTCGAGAGCCCAGTGTTAAAGAGGGAGGTAGCCTGTGGTCATGTAGAAGTTTCTGCTAAGGGAGCATGAGTAGATGTCCAATGCTATAAGGTGACACCTGATAGGCTGATGGCAAAGATGAAGCCACTGGTGTTGAAATGAAAGCTGTTTGATACAAAAGTCAAAGAGGAATGTGAAGGAAGGCAACCTGTGCCTGGGATCTGAGGTTTTTTGCAAACATCATAGTAAATGACAGTTGACCATCGCAGGAAACATCAAGGTGAAGCAGGCCTGGCGTGTCAAAGGCGGGCAGTAGCACGTGCATGTTTGTATGCCAGCCGAGCGGCGGGGAGTGATCCTTTTCCAAATAGCTGGTAATGCAGCCCACAGGAAGGTAAATTAGTGTGCAGGCTCCAGGGACAGACATCACAGAAGGACAGATGTTCATGGAGCATGGCTGCTGCCCTCCAGGGGAAAATAAAGACCAAGACGATCGGGGAGCCTGTCCACATCTGAGATGGGGTGACCAACCTCAACTGGGGCCAGCCTCTGTCCACTGTGGTGGGACTGATTTTTATTTTCTTTATTCTAATTTTTTGTGTTTTAAAATTTTCTAAAATGGATACTGTTTTTGGATTCCAAAAAGCTTTCTTTGAGTGTTCACTAACCCATGACAGCACTTTTTATTGCTGTGTACCGGCCATTTCCAAGTGTGCATGTCACAGTTAGGATGCATGGTGGGCACACCTAACCTTTCCCCCTTCTGCTTGTTTCTGGTTAAAGGTGGCATCACACAAAATTGGACTGTGTCGGGAGCTCTTGGGCTACTTCGGCCTCTTTCTCATTCGGTTTGGCAAGGAGGGCAAGCTCTCTGGTAAGAAGGAAGGAACAAATGAATCAGCTAGGAGATGGGGTGGACAGGTGTGAGCAGGGGCTTGATGCAGGACTCACAGCTGAGGGACTGGCCACCCACCGGGCTATGATCCCTACTGCTGTTCTCAGTCACTGGGTTAAGGGTTTGGGGAATGGGAGGTTGCGTCCTTGTTAGGGGAGAGTGGAGGCAAACCACTCATACCTTGGGTGGTCCAGTAACTGCACTTGTGCACCCCCAGCCCTAATTCTGATGCCCCTCCCCTTTACTGCAGACTGGGCCTGACCACTGACCACCTGCCTGCACCCTTTCCTGTGAATGGAGTGCTAGACTCCGGGGGTCAGGACGCCCCACCACAACATCACTTTTCCTTGTTAAGGAATATTTGTGGATGATATCAATGAGTTATTAGATACCTTTTTTAAAGCGTAATGAGATAGTGTAAGAAGACAATCTGATTCTCATATCTTTTGTTTTCTCTATAGTATGTTTTAAGATATTACAAGGTTTTTGTGTGAAATGGTGTCAGTTATATCAAAGTAGTTTGTAAATGTCCTCAAGAAGCCAGGGGAGGTGATTTTGAGTTGGAAGATAAGGGGTTTGTGTAGAGGGTTGGCTGCTAGGCCCTGTGGTGAGCTGCAAAGGCTCTGGATGTCTCTGGATCTGTTTTTTCATCTGTATCACAGTGTAAAACATCCTCCACTCAAGTGGCGGATATTTTTGAGGATCAAATGATATTTATTTTTTGAATGAACTTCAGAAAGTTAAAATTACATATAAATACAGAGGATATTCTTACTGTGATTTTATTATTTCCAATAATAAGGTTTTATTTTCTCATTTGAAAGCTGCTATATATAAGCTGTCTGTGCTATTTCAGCCAGTAAGACCAGCTTTCCCCTTTCTCTAGTTGTGAAAAAATTGGCCGACTTTGAACTCCCTTATGTTAGTCTTGGAAGTTCTGAAGTGGAAAACTGTAAGGTTGGACTCCGAAAGTGGTAAGTAGGTACTGAAAATGACAGAGGCGTTTGAGGACATTTCGCCATTGCCCATCAAGACTTATCAGAGTCTCGTCACATTCTGCTCACAGCCTGACAGCTGGAGACCAAGAACTTAGAGAAGGTTGTAAGAAAAGCAATGAAGGTCAGGTGCTGTGTCTTATGCCTATAATCCCAGTACTTTGGGAGACCAAGGCAAGAGGATTGCTGGAGCCCAGGAGTTCAAGATCAGCCTGGGCAACACAGCAAGACCTCATCTCCACTAAAAATAAAAAAAAAATAGCCAGCTGTGGTGTTGTGCATCTATGGTCCCAGCTATTCAGGAGGCTGAGGCAGGAGAATCACTTGAGCCCAGAAGATTGAGGCTGCAGTGAACCAAGATTACACCACTGCACTCCAACCTGGGCAGCAGTGCAAGACCCTGTCTCAAAAAGAAAAGAAAAGCCATGAAAATGAGAGAGGGTGAAATAAACTAGTTTCTGAATATTTGTCCTAAAGAATAGGATGTTGAGGATGACTTTCAGTAGTCTCAGGTAAATACTCAGGGCTGGGTGGGGTATGAAAATGAGGAGGGTAGTCATCTTTCTGTATCTCTACTGATAGGCGAACAAGAAAGTAAGACTTGAAAACCAGGGGCGGGGCCAGGGGATGTGGATCAAAGCAGGTAATGGTGAGAAACGGCTGGCCTTGGGTTTGCTTTGCAGTGCATCACTGACTGTATTAATGGAGGGACTTTGTTGGTGATTACAATCAGATCCGATTCATCCGTAGAAGTGCGGCATTCCCTGAAGGTGAAGGGTGGATTCAGCCAGTTTGCAGTGAATTTGAACTCTAAGTACTGGGCTTACACAGGCCTAAAGGATGTGTACCACGGCCATCTGTATTCCTAGATAGATAGGACACAAATGTCCCTCAGCAGAAAATACTGTCATTTCCTCTAGTAACACAGGGGCCTGTGGAGAACAAAATATTATAGAAAATAGCACCAAGCAGCAGGACCTTATGCACCCCCAGTCCTATAACCTGCAGCTCCCAGCGTTTATTACTGTGGCCGCAGGGGATTGCTCCTTAGGCTCGCTCTCTCCCAGCCCATTTATTCTGCTATCTGAGTACAGAGGTTTTAAAGAAAAGTATTTTGAAATCTAAGAATTCCCTTGACCTTGTGATGCCTTGCTCTAGAGCTCCAGTTTGTGGCTTTGAATTGTGGAAGGATATTCCCAGCGAGGCAATTTGTATACTGCCGTTCAGAAGTATCTTGAGGAGTGGTCCAGCTCTTGAGGTGTGAAACCCTGAGAAGGGGAGAAGGACTTGGTTCCATTCAATGGTTTAGAGAACAGCTCTTCTGGAAGCTGCTTACTGTAGTGAGTGGCTGAGCACAGTTGTTCCTAGAATTACAGTATGTGAATCTAAGTCGCGGCTTGCTCAGGTCTTAGCTGCATAAACCTAGCCAAGTTTGTTCAAGCTCTCTAAGCCTCAGTTTCTTTATCTGTAAAATGGGAATAATAAAAATAGTGTCTACATCATAGGATTATTGTAAGGGTTATGTAGAATAGTCCCATATACTCAGTAAGTTTTGGTCATGTTTGTGACTGTTATATTGATGATATGGTGATTATAGGAAGTAAAAAAAAAAAAATCCCTGGGGCTTAGATTTTCACTCATGTGCTCTCCTGAAAACTTGAGATCAAAGGAGAGATGACAATTCTGTTTCTTATCTTGAAGCTTGAATTAGAAATTAGGCACTGCCTATGTCTTTATTAAATAGGTAAACTCTAGGTGATACATGCAAGAGAAAACATCTACCCCAAATTATAAGCCAGCATCTCAGATTCAGGCAGATTGCCTTTGTTGATGGGAACTGGGAAGAAAGGAGGTCCCACTTCTGTTGTTACAGCTAAGGATCAGGTCTCTGGAGGGGAGATTCTGGCATAGGCTCCTGCAGGTGCCTTGCCCTCTTTCCTGAGGGAAGTCTTGTTGGGTGGGAGCTGGAAGGCTAACTCCAAAAGCCGAGTGATTCCCAGCAGGTGAAGCCTCAGTGAGGCCTGAGCGGCATCTTAAGAACTTTTCTGTCCTTAAGGAGAGATGCCTGGGTGCATCTCTCCAGTGTTGATGATATGGCTTCCTCCAGGCCAGAGGGTGCCTGTGCTGGCCTGTGGGAGCCCCAGTCTGGGATGGGTCTTTTCTCTGCACACAGGCATCTCTGGGATGTGTGGGTGCATAGTTACCTGGAATGTAAGTAGGGATGCTTCAGTTACTGCTCCCCACCCCAAAAGGAAGTTGACCTTCAAGCACCATATTTATCCCTTTCGTGGTCTAAGCCAACCCCATTGGTCTAATCACCCTATTCTTCTGAGCGTAGCAACTCTGCTTACCTCTGCCTTCTGGTTGGCAGAGATCAGCCATAGGTACCCTTTCCTGACAGTTTCAGTCCCTTCTTAACATACTACTGTGCTTCTACAGTCATTAATTTCAGTTCCTCGTGATTCTGGATCTGATAGGCAGACACGGAGCCCCTGCGATTTGCAAATCACTCTACCAAGATCCAGAGGGGCAACTCTGGATAGGCCCCTGGCCTTGGGGTTCTTCACAGATGGTGTCAAGAAAACTTAATCAGGGCGGCGATTGGAATAAACTCAGGGTGCAGAGGAAGCACAGTGGATGGGCGGGCTAATACAGCCTTGGGAAGTAGGGACCAGAGGAGGGTGCGTTGCTTGAGGCTTGCAAAGAAAGGCCAATCAGTCAGGGGAGGAGATTGGCGTGGGCTTGGTCTTCCAGGCAGGGGGACAGGAGAGAAAACATGGTTGGAATGTAGCATTGGTGGTGGGGTTGGTGAGAGATGGAACTGGAAATGAAAGTGGGGGTGGTCCCGGGAGGAGCCTTGAAAGCGAGCAGAATAAATATCTAACTCTGGAAACCATGAGAGTCTGAAAAGTTTCACAGGAAAGACCACTCTGGTTAGAATGTGGAGCATGAGGTTAAGGGCACATGGCTGACACAGAAAGCCTGGGAAGGAGGCTCCCAGAGCAGCTCAGGCAACCAATGAGGGTGGCCCTGCTGCAGGGTGGTGAATATAGGGGTGGATCCGTATGGGGCAGACGACTATGCCAGGTATTGTGCGGTGGAGAAAGGGATTCCAGGGCTTGGTGGCCAAGAGTGAGGCTGAGTATGAAGAGGGATGCAGACCATTCCCCTAAAGCTTTATTTTTGTGCCTCTTTATTTTCAGAGCCCTCCAGGTAAGAGCTTACAGTGTAAAGAAATTAGGAAACAAAAGAGGTGGAGGGGCAGAGTGAAAGCTGGGGGAGTGGAGGTGTGGTTTTGTTAGAAAAGGGGGCCCCGGTTCATAGGGTAGAGGGCCACCACTTTCCAAAGCACTTGCCAGGTGTGTCCATGAGCCATGTCACAGGAATGAATTTCGCGCTCCTGAATTTTGCAGGTATATGGATCCATCCCTCGACTCCACGCTGATGGACTGCAGGGCGGCCCTAGATTTGCTCTACATGCAGGTGAGGGTCACCAAGAGCTCTGACAGCACCGTAGATCAAAGGCCGTGTTGGCTTGGAATCACTGAAAAAAAATCTATGGTAGTTAATAATTCTACCTCCATACCTAAAATAGGCAAATTCATAGAGACAGAAAGTAGAACAGAGGTTACCAGGGGCTGCGGGGAGTGAGGAAGGAGAAGCTGTTTGATGGGTGCAAGTTTTTTTGGGGGATGACAAAAAGTTTTAGCTCTAAATAGTGGTGACGATTATCCAACATTGTGAATGTATATAATGACTCTGAATTTTGTGAACAGTTAAAATGACAAGTTATGTTGTATATATTTTACCACGATAACAATAAAATGTAAAAAGTAGAGGAGTTTAGAGAGAGAAAAGGAACTCTATCTCTGTTTTAACAATCGCTCTCTGAATTTGCAGCTGACGCACC